AATGGTAGAGTTTAGAGTAATCAGTTAGGATACTTTGTTATATGTAATGATCACATATTTCAATAATTTAAAAAAAATTAGGATAATGCGCTATGTTTAATGATAAAACTAAACATTAAATGGGATTTATTCCGGGGATACAAGGGTGATTCAATATTTGAAAATCAATCACCATGTTCTATCACATAAAAGAAAGACTATATGAACATAATTTAATCTCTTATTTACAGGAGACATCAGAATTCATGAGTTTCTTTTGATTGTAATGTAGAAAGACTTTCAGGCTGAAATTTTTATAAGGATACACTTGGGAATATAATATAGAGGAACTTCATGGTATTCTAGTACTGGAACTAGAATGGATGGGCTTTCCAGAGACTAGAACTCAAAAGTCTTCATATCCAAGTGTATTAGTTATCTATTGCAATGTAACAAATGGGCCCCCAATTTAATGTCTTTATTTCACAGCTTCTGTGGGTCAGGAATCTAAGCATGGCTTAGCTGGGTGCTTCTGGCTCAGGACTTGACACAAGGCTACCGTCAGTGTGTTGGCTGGGGTTTCTGTCATCTGAAGGCTTGATTGGGGAAGGATCTGCTTCTCACATTACTCACTTAACTTTTGTCAGGCTTTAGGTAGTTGCTGACTGTTGGCCAGAGACAGGAGTTCTTTGCTATGTGGGTCTTCCCGCTCACAGTATGGCAGCTGGCATCCCAGAGTGAAAGAGGGTGACAAGATGGAAGCCACAGCCTCTTTGTAACCTAATCTCAGAAGTGATATCCCATTACCTTTCCTGCATTCTGTTTGCTAGAAGTAAGTTAGCAAATCCAGTCCATACTCAGGAGGAAAGGTTTACACAAGGGCATGAATACCAGGATATGGGGATTATTAAGATCATTTTAGAAACTGCCTGTCATACCAAGTAAGCCCTAGAGATCTCACCAGCGTTTTTTGTGTGTGTTTTATTCTAGTTCTCTACTATAAATGCCCCTAAACCAGTGTAAATGTACATAATTTTTGGCTACTAATTATAGTTCTTGATTAATATTTATTTATTTATGCCTCTTATTTTTAGTTTTCCCTTAAATTTAGTTTATGCAGGACTAAGATGAACTCTGCTACCTCATGATATTTTACCTTCTGCCCCTGCTGTTATCCACTTTGAATATGTCCCTAAAGCCTTGTTCAGATTTTTGGGAGAGAGAAGGTGGGTAGGGAGGGGATAGAGTATAGTGTCTTTTAAATACGCCTACCTCATCTGTGATTAACACAGTTTTCCTTAGGAAGCAAATAAATATCTAAATACTATTGTAGATGTTTATTGAGTAGAAAATAATAGAATATTTCTCATAAAGTTAGAAAATTTTGAGATATACAGATTTTGGGGAGAGAATTATACAGAAATCTCTACTTCATTTTTTGAGTATAAAAAAGGCAAACATCTCTCTATATTTTTAAGTCAGTTCTATGCCCATCATGGGGCTTGAGCTCACGACCTTGAGATCAAAAGTTGCATGCTTTACTGATTGAGCTAGCCAGGTACCCCCAAACATTTATATTTTTATCACACAGAATTAATAACCATTAACATTTGTTCATTTTGCATTTAAGTCTTTTTCACCCAGGTAATAAAGTCTGTAGTTGAAACTCAGCTTCTCTTAAACCATCACTCTTTGTTCTGTTTTATGGAACTTACCTGATGTGCAACTACTGTTACAAATCTGGTGGGTGTTTTTCTGGTTCTTCTTCTTCTTCTTTTTTTTTTTTTTTTATTTGACAGAGAGAGAGAGAGAGAGAGATAGATCACAAGTAGGCAGAGAGGCAGACAGAGGTGGGGAAGCAGGCCCCAAGCTGAGCAGAGAGCCTGATGTGGGGCTTGATCCCAGGACCCTGAGATCATGACCTGAGCCGAAGGCAGAGGCTTAACCCACTGAGCCACCCAGGTACCCCTGGTTCATTTTTTATTCTTGCAAACACATAAAGACACATGCACATGTATGTGGTGTGGTCTTGTGTTTGTATTTTTTTTTCCCAAATCAATAGAGGTTTTATTGAATCTTTGAAATAACCACAAATAAGTCTGAAAAATCATCCAGTATACTGCTGTTTCTGTAGCTGGACAACTAGATCTTATTCATCAGCCTGCTAAATTGTTCCTTTTTGAGAAGCATGGAAAACATCCAAAAATTTTCTGATATCTTTGTTTTTAACTGTTGTGGCTTGCTGAATCAAAACAGCTGAGTTTGATACAAGTTCGGTGTTACTTCAAGAATTAAGTCATCTTTCTGGACTTGAGATACTGAACAAGCAATACTTGGCCTCATCCAAACTCTGAGGATATATTTTTCACCCAAGAAATTTTCATTTTCGACAGGAGAACCATTCTTTTGAATAGCAATGTTGATGGGGAAATGGGCATACACAGACCTCATCTTGTGGTAGAAGTTCAGTGTAATGCCCTTGCTCATGTTCTGTACATGACTGTAGATAGTGTGAACAATTGCCAGTTCTTTTCTGTTTCCCCACTATTTGTCATCTTGGAACCTCTTCTTTATCTTTCCAAGGAGATTGAGTTTTTGTTTTTTTTTTTTTTTAATTTTTTAAAATTAGAACGAGCAGTGGGGAGGGACAGAGAGAGAGGGAAAGAGAGAAGCAGACTCCCCGCTGAGCAGGGAGTCCTATGTGGGGCTTGATCCCAGGACCTGGAGATCATGACTTGAGCCAAAGGCAGGCACTTAACCAGTTGAGCCACCCAGGTGACCTGAGATTGAGTTCTGTATTGATGCTCTGGGACCCTTCACAATAACAGTGTGTCTCTTCAGAGCAATGTTGACATTTTCTGGAATGTTGACAGTCTGATGGCTGAGAATGATCTTTATTCTCACAGTAGATGGAGCAAAGAGAGCTTGTGTTTGTGTTTTATTTATTTGGTAGCATACTGTACCATTAAAAAAAGCTTTATATTCTTTTTGAGGTTTGTCCATATTTGTATGTATATATAGAGTTAGGTCATTCTTTTTAGCTGCTGGATAGTATTCTGTCATGTTTTATTATTCATTCTCTTACTGTTAGATATGTAGGTTGCTTTGAAAGAATAGTTTGCTGTTACAAATAGTGCTATCTTATGCACCTATGACAAATACATTTTCTTTTTTTAAGATTTTATTTATTTATTTGACAGAGAGAGTGAACACAAGCAGAAGGGATGGGAGAGGGAGAAGTGGACTTTCTGCGGAGCAGAGAGCCCGATGTGGGGCTCGATCCCAGGACTTGACATTATGACCTGAGCCGAAGGCAGATGCTTAACGACTGAGCCACCCAGGCACCCTGACAAATACATTTTCTACATTATTGTCAAGTGCTGAATCAACTTATAGTCCAAATAGATGTGAGAAATCTTACTGCATTGTCATAAGTGGTATTTCAGACTTAGAACATAATTTTCTTTTTAAGTTTTATTTGAGAGAGAGAGCGACAAAGCATGAGTGGGGTGGAGGGGCAGAGGGAGAGGGAGAAGCAGACTCCCCATTGAGCAGGGAGCCCAATGCAGGGCTCTGTCCCAGGACCCCCAGCTCTGTGACCCGGGTTGAAGGCAAATGCTTAACCAACTGAGCCCCTAAAACATTGTTTTCAATTTAGTGATTGGAAAACTAGTCTCTTACATTATTAATCTATAATTCCTTCATTACTAATAAGATTGAGTATATGTTAGTGATCTTTTGGATGTCATCTGTGAAGTGCCTGACCAGTTTGCTCATTTGTAGGAGTTCTTTATGTATTCTGGTATGAATTCTTTTTTATTATATATATTGCCAAAGTCTTCTTTCTATAACTTGCTTTTAACACTGTGTATTTTTCTTTTCTAACTGCATTGAAGCCTTTGTAACTTTTTTCTCTTTTATCATTCTTGCTAGTCTTTGTAAGCAGTTCCCTTTTGGTTTTGTGTTTTCACATAAAAATGAAGGTTATAGAGTTACAATTAGCACCTGGGGACATACAGAATGGGAGTATGGGCATTTAAATGACTATTAATTGTCATGTGTTGAAACAAAAATTATGGATATCATTCTAGAGTATCTTACAAAATTCATAATTATTAATGGTATAAATTTTTTTTCACTATTTAGCCTTCAAAATTTTCAGTGGTAGAAGGTTAGCTTTTTCAGTGAATCAGACTGTATGGCCTTACGCCTTTTCTTTTGATAAAATATAATGGCGTTTGTTTAATTATGGGATAAATCTTTAGCAGTCATTTGTTATAGTCCCCACTATTTTCCAGGCAGGAGTAACAGCTTTTATAAGGATAACTTACACTTATCTGTTTGTGAAAAGGGAAAAAAATTATTGCAGATATTTTTCACAGAAAACTTTTTTGCGTTGAAGATTTAGCAAGTTTTTGCAATACTATTTTTAACAGTTGAAGTTATACTTTTTTGCTTGTAGTTCAGTTACTTACATCTTTTTACATTATTTAACTTATTTTAGTTAATATTTATACTGTTCAGATTGTGAAATTTGAGAAATGGAGGTTTTGAGCAGCTTTTATAAAGATAAGTAGTTCTTACTTTGGCTGAAGGTATGGGATTGAGTCACATTTTCAAATATTTTAATTTCCAGATTTCAGGTTGGAATTTTTTTCTTTTGCTTTTCACTAAACATTATCCAGGAAAAAAAAAAAGGAGAAAAAGGAATCTTGAAATATAATAGCAATACATCCACAAGTATTTGTCTAATATTTATTGTTCTAGGTAGTTTGTGTGCACTTTTAATTGGAGTTTTTGGTATTGGGTCCACAGTCAGAGTGAAGAATAGTTTAGTCTTTGTTGAATTCCTTATGAATTAGGAAAGAACATAGATATTTTTAGGAGTTGGGAAATAAAGGAGGAGTTTGGTTCCATTCACATTTTAATCAGAAACATTGAAAATGTTGCCCTTGGTAAAAGTGTAATAAGCATAAACCTTTTTTCTAGATATTTGATCATTTATTTTTATATTATTTTAGGTTTCCAGTAATTATCTGCAGGATTCGCCATGACCCCAGCTCTGAGGGAGGCAGCAACAAAGGGTATCTGCTTTTCATCTATATCAAGTACCATGGAGTCCGACAAGATGCTATGCATGGAAAGTGCAAGAACTGTAGATGAAAAGCTCAAGGGAGACACTTTGTCTCAGATGCTGGGATTTCCAACTCCTGAACCTACTCTTAACACTAACTTTGTGAATTTAAAACATTTTGGCTCCTCTCAGTCTTCAAAACATTATCAGACCGTTCTTTTAATGAGCTCTCATTCTGCATTAAATAAATACAGTGAGAGTCACAAACAAAAGAAATTAGGGGAACCCAACTGCAATAAGCTGAAAAACATACTGTGTAACGGCAGCAACATTCAGCTTAGTAAAATCTGTCATTCTCATTCTGAAGAGTTCATCAAAAAGGAACTGCTCTCAGATACCACAAGCCAGGGCATGACAGATGTACAAATTATTTTGGATTCCAATATAACCAAAGACACTAATGTAGAGAAAGTACAACTGCAAAACTGCAAATGGTACCAAAAGAGTGCACTTTTGGATAAAGTTACTGATGCTGAAATTAAAAAGGGTTTATTGCACTGTGCTCAAAAGAAAATTGGGCCTGGCCACTCCAATGTGCCTATTAGTCTCTCAGTTGCTGAAAAAGAGGAGGAAGTCAACGCTCGTTTACTTCATTGTGTAAGTAAACAGAAAATTTTACTTAGCCAGGCTAGAAGAACTCAGAAACATTTGCAGATGCTTCTGGCAAAGCATGTTGTTAAGCACTATGGTCAACAAATGAAATTTTCTCTGAAACATCAACTCCCCCAAATGAAGATCTTTCATGAACCGACCACAGTTTTGGATAGCAGTTTACCTAATTGCACTGAAATTAATCCAGAAGTCAGCATGTTGACTGCAGAGAATAAGTTGTGGAGGGATACGAAAAATGGCTTTGCTCGGTGTACAGCTGCAGAAATCCAAAGATTTGCACTGTCTGCTACAGGGCTGTTGTCTCATGTTGAAGAAGGTCTGGATTCTGATGCAACTGATAGCAGCTCTGATGACGATTTGGATGAGTATACCATTAGAAAAAATGTGGCCGTGTAAGTGCAAGATTATTATTAGACCTTTTACTGTTCTATGTATAGCAGCAGTTTTGTCTTGATTCATGATACATGAAAAGGAAATAGGTTTCCTAAAATTTTAATGCCATAATCTTTAAGGTATAAAGTTTGGTGAATTTTAAAAATATTTTGTTAAGCTACTTTGTGTGAATATGTACATAATATTTAAGAATAAGTTATCCAACTGTTCTATCTAGGAAAAAACCGTATAGGGATAATGAAAAACCATATAGGGGTAATAATACTTCTTTAGCTAGAAGTAAGCATTTTCCCCTTCTTGAATAGAATAGGCTATAGACAAGGCTTAAGATTTTTAGCCAATATGTGTAACCAAAATGCAAAAAATTTAGTCTGTACATTGGGGAGCCCATATTGGCTTTAGGCTTTAGAAGTTATCAGTTGAGAGTATATATAAGTTGATCTGCTTTTTTTTTTTTTTTTAAACAAAGTATTTATATACTTGTATTTATATACTTGTCCAGTTCTTTCAGCTCAGGTCTTCACCATCAATTTTTGATGAATTAGTTTAACCAAAGCAAAAAAGTGTTAGCTATTAGATACATATTGAATGCTTATTATGTGCTGGACCTTGGGGACTCGGTTATGGGGAAAATATCCACAGTCTCTATTGAGAATCTACTTCAAAACTAAAACAAAAGCAAAAACAGAGATAAAGTAGTTTTATGTAACACGCTGTGTTAATACTCCAGAATAGCCCTATCTGATAGAAGTTTTCTGAGATGATAAAAATGTTCTGTATCTGTTTTACCACATAGCCTCATATGGCTGTTGAGCACTTGAAATGTGGCCAGTGTAACTGAGGAACTGAATTTTTAAACTTTGTTTAATTTGAATTACATTTTTTTAAATAGCCAGATAGAACAGTTTTTAATCTAGGTTTAGGGAATCTGTTAGTGTCCCTAACTTGAGGCAAAATACTGTGTATGTATTTTGGGAGGAAAAAGTTCATCATTTTTATCAAATTGTGAAAGATGAGTGAGAATTATTACAGAATTAGAAGCTGAACACGTTAATATTTACTAATAAATAGAAGGTCAATATATCAGTTTCTATGGTAAAGAATAAAATGTAAAACAAAGTGGGCATTCTAGTCTTTTGGTTTTCTGTTATCACTATGTTTGAAATGTGTTTGAATATAGGAGCTAATATTGAGCACATATTTTTTTCTGACTGGCATTGTGATATTCACATATATATTATTTAATCCTTTCAACAACCATGGGAGGTGTTGATTATTGTTATCCTTATTTAATTTAAGAAGAAATAGTCTTTGCATGGCTGAATAACTTGGCATGGTCAAAAAGCTAAATAATTGATGGAGCTAGGTTTGTTGTCCATGTGTGGAAGCCTTCAAACCAATGTTCTTGCTATTGGGCCATGCAGCTTTATCAACGTATCATTCATTGATGCTTAAAGCCACAAGAATTATTAAGCACATGTGCTCTGAAAGAAGTCCAGAAATTTATCAATTTTTATGTTAATAATGCTTTTTGAAGAAATTCAATTTAATAAAATTTAGTAGGTAAATTTAGTAAATTACTTACCTTTTGTTGTTGAGTACAGCCATTGGGCAAGTTTGTCTCTTTTAAGCTAGAAATAAAAATCAGAAAATCATGTCTTCCTAGACTCTTTTGACCTTCATTAGGATTTTCTTTCATTGATCTCCTATAGTACTTAATCTGCCATACAGTTTATCATTAAATCATATTTTGTCCTATATGATTTGCTAATATATGTATTAGTCTTAATAACCCAACACCTAGTAAGAATGGAAACCACATTTTAAACCTTAAAACAAATCTTATATACCAAGCATATAATTACTGATTGGCCAAGATATTTTAAGATTTGCATTTACTCCTTGAATTTAGTCAGAGAACACTAATTTTGGACATTTAGGTGAAACATACACAAATAGGAAGAGTCAAAGTATTAATTTTTTTTATACAAAGGATCAAGCAATATACATCTCATTTCTTTTCTTGTCAGTTTTGCCAGTTTATTGATGAAAGCTGAAGTAAAGTAGCCTGGAAAAAAATTAGGTTCAGGCTTGGAAAGTTTATTTCTCATTCTGTCTTTCTTTTTTGTTTAATCAGTTGGAAGGCTCAGGAACACCAGACATGCTTTAGGAAAATAATGAATCTAAGAAGTTTAATATTAAGATATATATTTTTAGCCTCTTGCATTATTGACCATTTAATATTAGGATGCCTTGTTGTTAAGGCTCATATCTGTATTTTTAGATTCTCAGGTTATACTCATCTGATCAATTCAAATCAGTAATACAAAATGCATATAACTTCGAATTCTTTAGTTCACTGATTGTTTAGGTTTTTGTGTTTTCTGTCATTGCATACCCACTACTTTGCGTTGTCTACTTTTTAGTGTGTGTGTGTGTTTTAATTTGTTGACTAAATGGAATTTTTCTGTATTTGAATATGCAGTTTTGAAGATAGAAAAAATAGGTTTGGCAATCTATGAAATTTCTCTCCATATATGTTTATCTTTTCTTCTTCCATTCTGTATTTTTACTTTGTTGCCCCACGTTCTTCCTTTGTCTCTAGTAGTAAACTGGCCACAAGATGTATCTTACACATCTTAGAACCAGAGTGAGTGTGTATTCAGTGAATGAATGAATGAATGAATGAAATACAACATGACAAAATATAGACCTTTAAAAGTGACTGTTTTAATATTTAACATTTGTAACTTTTAAAAATTGGTAAGTAAAATTTATTATATTTATCTTAAAAATCTTAGATTATATTATTATAAATGTTTTCTATTACCTTTTTTTTTTTTTTAATCCTGATAGGAAAACAAATTCCTTCACTTTGGTTAGGAAATTTAGCTGTGAAGGAATATAATGGTTTTAGGAAATTGGAAAGCACTCATATTAGCCCTTACCATTACCATTATTTTATTTTTATTTTTAAATTTTTAAAAGATTTTATTAATTGGGCACAGAGAGAGAGAGATAACATACACAAGCAGGGAGAGCAGCAGGCAGAGGGAGAGGGAGAAGCAGGCTCCCCAAAGAGCACAGAGCCCAATTTGGGACTTGATCCCAGAACCCTGGGATCATGACCCGAGACGAAGGCAGACACTTAACTGACTGAGCCACATAGGCACTCCACCATTATTATTATAAATAAATAAATAAATATTTTTATGTGTATATATATATTTTTAAAATATATATTTGACTTGCCCCTTTACCCTTAAAAAATGTAGGCAGTGGATTAATTCATAATGCCATTACTAATTCTCTTAAAAATAACTTTTGGTTGAGAGACTAGTGTGCATTAGAAAAAATTTTTAAAGCCATTTTCCTTTGGAAAGGAAAATAGGATTTTAGGGTTTTTGTAGGTGTGAGATATAATCCTAATACTATAATAAGAACAGAATCACCCCCTGTGTCTGTTCTTTTGGTGAAGCAGCACAAGTTTTGGACCTCCTTGTGTTACAGTCATGGCTTGCTCTGTGACCCTGAGCAAAGATTAATACTATTTTTTTTTTTTTTAAGTTTTTTTTTTAAAGTCATCTCTGTACCCAGTCTGGGGCTTGAACTCACTACTCTGAGATCAAGAGTCACATGCTCTTCTGGCTGAGTAAGCCTGGTGCCCTGAGGTTAATGTTATTCTTAAACCTTTGAATCAGATTCCTCTTTGATCTGCCTTAAAGAGTTCCGGAGAGAAGTAGATGAAACATTAAATATAAAGTGTCTATACATAATGCACTGATTTGAAAGCTAATAAAGAGTGTCTTATCAAGCAATTTACTATTGTGAGAGACTGGAGCTTAATTATGCCATGAGAAACTTGGGGAGCCAGCATAAAATACATGCCTGAGAGGTGAGGAATTTGAGAGGTGAGGAAACTGGTGCATTTGTACAGCAGGTCATCAGTTACAAGGTGAAGATTATTTCTGGTTGTGTCCAATTCATTCACCCTTTTGTTCTGCTGCTTGGGTGACACAGCAGGTTCAAGTAACAACAAAAAAGCCCTGGGTCAAAGAAATGCAGGTGCTGGCATTTGGAAGTCAGGTCTTTGTATGCTGAACTGGTAAGTGTCAGGGGATATAGGTGGGTCACTGATAGACTGCTACAATTATGTTCCCTCTCATCTGGTGGTACAGCCTTAGAGTTCTAACATTTCTTTTCATCTGGGAAACAATCAGTTACTTTCGTCTGGGATGCATTTGGGAAAACTCACAGATGTTGACACAGACATATTCTGATCTTCCAAGGTTGTAAAAAAGGAAGAAACATGGTTAAGTCTTATTTTATTTGAGGAAAACTGACAGTATCTTCCAAATTACCCAGGTTTTTTGGGTGTGGAGAGAAAAGTCTCTTTGGTACCCCAAATTAGTCCCCATATATTCAAATTACTTTGAGTTTTTACTTTGGTGTTATTTGGCAGTCTATTTTTTAAAGGTTGTATTTATTTGAGAGAAAGAGCATGAATGGGGTGGAGGGGCAGAAGGTGGGGGTAGAAGCAGACTTCCCGCTGAGCAGGGACCCTGCTGGATCCCAGGATCCTGAGATCATGATCTGAGCTGAAGGCAGTTAACTGAGCTGCTTAGGTGCCCCATTCACCAAGAAAGGAGAGAACTGTTGATATTTAGTTGGAAGCTCTCAGATTAATCTTTCTAGATTGAAAGAAAATGAGTAGTTTCTTGCAGACCTACAGAAATGAGTACTCAGAGTTTTCTTTGTGTTTTCCTATTTTGCCAGTGGAAAGGAAAAGAAGTAAAAAAAAAAAAAAAAAAATCAGATGATGAATTTCCCTTTGAGGAACTGGATAAATAGGAGTATAAACTAATTGTGACATTGAGAGTAAAAAGAGTAATAACATGTCATTAATTGCAAATAAGAGTACCTTTACATTTGTATAATGTGAAGTTGACAAATTATTATTATTTTTTTTTTAATTTTTTTTTTTAAACATATAATATCT